AAGAAGTTAACAATGCGCTTGCCAAGGAAACTTGCGAACGGAACGGTCGGAGTAGTATAACAGAAAAACGAAAAAACAGGGGAGAGGGGAGACACCGAAGGGACCAGAAGCTTACAAATTAATAGTAAAACATAAAATTGTAATTGTAGCTGTACCAAAATCAGTCAACTACATTACTGCAATATTTAATAATAATAAAATACATTAGAATTTTTAAATTTTTTTCTCTTAACATATAAATTTTCCAGTCTCAAAAAATTGAAACCGAAGTCTGTTATCTATTAATGTAGGATATCCAACTCAGGACGTTGTTGTTGAACTAGACTCATTTTGCATCCCTAAGTGTGTTGGTTGAAGTTGGACTGCTTCTGGCAAAACAAAACAAAGCAGATTAGAGAAGATGCCACTGCTCATTGCTGAAGACGTCGAGAAGCTATGGGATACTTGGAATATCAGAGTCCTAATTATTCTAAGTCTCTTGCTGCAGTCTTTCCTAATGTTGTCTGCACAATTGAGGAAGAGAAGAGGTGGGAAATGGATCATCATGATTCCACTCTGGATAGCATACTTGCTTGCAGATTGGGTGGCTACATTTACTATTGGACTCATGTTGAGTGCTGAACATAGTGACATTCTGGCCTTTTGGGCACCCTTTCTGTTGTTGCATCTTGGTGGCCCTGACACTATTACGTCCTTCTCTCTGGAGGACAATGAATTCTGGATTAGGCACTTGCTTTGGCTTATATTACAAGTTGGTTCGACCATCTATGTTATCCTTCAGTCACTCCCACGTAACAAACTTTGGCCGCCAACTCTCCTAGTTTTAATTGCAGGGGTTATCAAATATGCTGAGCGCAACCGTGCCTTTTATCTCGCAAGCTTTGACCATTTCGGGAATAATTGGTTACATTTTGCACGCCGTCGAGTGTTCTCCATTCCAGTATTGTCTCCCATTCCAGTATTGCCTCCCATTCCAGTACGATTTCAACAAGCTCTTCAGTCGCGGTTTCCAGAGGTTTGGTCACGGCTTGCGTCGTGTCCGATCTTTCTTGTGGCAGCATGCACGTTTGGCTCTATCAAGAGCTTACTTGTAGGTCCTCCCATGACTAAAACAGAACAAACGAATGTTTGTTGTTTAATGCGAGAAAGAGATTCACATGGGACGCTTCGAACCATAGAGATCCAATTAAGCCTCTTGTATGATCTCCTTCATACCAAGTTGCCCGTAGTTGATTCCAAGATTGGTTATATTTGCCGCACGGTTAACTTTGGTTGCATCTTGGGAGCCTTGGTGTCATTCTCAGTATTACTTAAAAAGTACTACCATAATAAGTTGGGGGAGTTTGACATCTGCCTGACATATGGGTTGCTGA